AATGAGTCTTGGAAATCTGCTTGATATTTTTTTCGTAATGAGTTTGAATGCATAACTCAATATGTTTTTAGCGATGAAAAACAGACACCATGACGTTTTAATTTCAAAAGATAATTATCATGGTACCTACACATTTCAATTGACTCGAACAGATTCCGTATAATTCAAAACATTAAAAGTCTCATTAAGTCACTAATTGGGAATAAATTGAATAACATGCAAGTAATTTGTCAACCTGAATTATTTTTGTACTCAGATAAATTAAATAATTTTTCTACAAATGTTAAACTATACCACCTTGGTTCCTTATAAACATTACCCAATTCTCATATCTTCCAATTAGATGCTTGTAAAAATGGTTAATTTCCGCTTGCACAAAATAATAAGCTTGTAACAAAAGGCCCACGGGCCTTATAGGTCACATGAGTATCGTGTAACAACTTTCAAACAGTTAAAATTAGTTCATGTTTTAAACTAAAGGCCATGAAATTCACAATTCAAAATTTTGAAAGAGGCACCATTGCTTATCATAATTATAAACTTAGCATGCTTACTCTATTTACTTAATACCCAGAAGTAGATCAGAGTAACAAAGAGAAAATGCACTTACACTTTATAACCAGTTGTGCACCTCACCCCAAAGGAACCACTGACCCAGGGGCCACATATTTCAAAATTTTGCAAATTTTATCATAAAATGGTTGATTAAAACTAAAGAGCAGATTTCAAAGCATTAATTTATTTTGAGACTATGTAACCCCCCTCCCCAACCCAGGGGACATAAAAAATTACCATTTTGCTAGATGCACCTTTCTTCATCATAAATATATATATACTTGGATCGTTGGCATAAAACCCAGGATCAAACGAAAAGATTTTCAAAGAGTTAATGCATTTTCACTATATAATCAATACAGCCCCGCCCTAACACCAGAGCCCCTGACCCTGGGGCCATAAAATTCATAATTTTGGAAGTGGCACTCTTGCTCATCATAACTATGTACTTTGTTAGTTTATTTGATAACCAGAAACAGAGAAGATTTTCAAAGAAAAATTACTGCATTTTCACTATATAATCAATAGAGCCACACCGTAACACCAGAGCCCCTGACCCTGGGGCCATTAAATAAACAATTTTGGAAGAGACACTCTCGCTCATCATAACTATTGGCTTAGTTTGTTTATTTAATACCCAGAAGCAGAGAAGAAGATTTTCAAAGAATAAATGCATTTTCACCATATAATCAATATAATCCGAACACCAGAACCCCTGACACTGGGGCCATGAAATTCATAATTTTGGAAGAAGCATTCTTTCTCATCATAACTATGTACTTAGTTTTTTGATTTAATACCCATGAGTAGAGAAGAAGATTTTCAAAGAATTAATGCATTTTCACTATATAATCAATAGAGCCCCACACTAACACCACAACCCCTGACCCTGGGGCCATAAAATTCACAATTTTGGAAGTGACACTCTTGCTCATCATAACTATGTACTTAGTTAGTTTATTTAATACATAGAAGCAGAGAAGATTTTAAAAGAATAAATGCATTTTCACTATATAATCAATAGAGACCCACCCTAACACCAGAACCCCTGACCCTGGGCCCATGAAATTCACAATTTTGGAAGTGGCACTCTTTCTCAACATAACTATGTACTTAATTAGTTTATTTAATACCTAGGAGCAGAGAAGAAGATTTTCAAAGAATTAATGCATTTGCACAATATGTTCAATAGAGCCCCGCCCTAACACCAAAACCCCTGACCCTGGGGCCATGATATTCACAATTTTGGTAGAGGACTCAATGCTCATTACATTCATGCCAACAGTTTGCCTGCTTGATGTCCAGAAGTAAAGAAGAAGATTTTTAAAGATTACAATAATTTTGGTGGTTTTGGCCCTACTCCTCAGGCCCCAGGGGACAGGGACCATAAAATTCACAATTTTTGTTTCTTTTCACCCATAGATGCTGTATACCAAATTTGGTTGAAATTGGTTCAGTGGTTTCAGAGGAGAAGATGAAAATGTTCAAATGTTAACACACGACGGACGACGCACGACGGACGAAAACGGATAGCAATAGGTCACCTGAGTTACTCAGGTGACCTAAAAACCATAAGCAGCGCATCAGGAGAAAAAAAGCTGAAATTTAATTGGGGGTAGGAAATCATAAAGGAAACGCAATGATTTTTTTTCTTGTAAGGACTGTCAAAGAATCAACAAGGACGTTCACAAAAATAAAAACTAACCCCTTTTTCAGATATATTTTTTAAAATAACCATGATCTTGTGTTTGGACTACTAAGATATGATTAGATGTATGGTGAGAATGTTATGAATAAATTAAAGTTGACTGCAGATTTCTTTCTAAGATGACAAGAGATTTATATTATATATTTTCCTCACCGTGAAATGGTTGACAAGAACTGAAAAGGGAGTGTTCAAAAATGCTGCTGCTTATTTCTAAGATTTAACACCCACCCCTTAACGCGCCCTAAGGATTAAAATGATCGTCCTCTCTTTAATTCTTTAAAAATGACTGGTATACGAAAACTCAGATTTATATAAAAGTCAAACTATTCAACATTTACATTTGTTCTTCTGGATCAATTATTAACACTTTGCGTATGAGAGTATTTCAGATAAATTGAAATTGATCTAGAATTTCATTTCTACATTTTCTCAGCCGCCCCAGCCGAATAGTACCCGCCCATTTCATTTTCTATCATCAAATGTTTTGACTCTAACAGATGAAAATGACATGAGCTGTACATTTCCCTGAAGGCTAACGCCACTTAATGTTCCGCGATCTTAAGTGATTCTGAGAGTAAATGTATAATGAAATGACCACGTTTAAAACAGAGGATTTATTTAAATTTTGTATTGGAGTGCCGATGATATTTGTAAATATGGCAGCATTATACGCCTTATTTCGAAGCAAACAGATGGCTTTCCAAATCCGATCGTTCTCCATGAATCTTTGTGTCGCGGATATCATGAGCTGTATCATGATGTCATTTCCGGACGAACTAACTCACTCTGCCCTTGGAAAGAACATTAAAAAGTGTCTATTTCTTTTGTTTGCTACTGTTGCACTGGTAACCATTACTTACTTCAACTTCGAAAGACTATTTGTGCTTAAATTTACCAACACTTACAAAAGATTTATAATTGTGAACAATGTTAGAGTACTCTGCTTTATTTCTTGGGTTTTATGTGCCGTGTTGTTTTTCCTACAAGCTTGCTCTCTTGAAGAGAAATATTTCTGTCTTGCAATGCCAACTGAGATCTCACTTTTCGTGGATTATGTCCGATTTTTGATATTTTTGTCCAATTTTTTTGCTTTTGTGATAATCATGCACCATATCAAATTCAACATGGCGAGAATGAAGGCCAAGACTAAAGCATGGAATCACGCAAATACACTCAGGAAAATATCCGCCATAACTGGTACGTTTTTGGCTTCATATACACCTGGATTGATTTACACAACTTTTAAACCTTTCCTGAAAGATGCCAAATTGAAAGAAACTCTGGATATCACAACCGGCACCTGTTTTGTCGTTGCCTTTGTTCTTGATCCCATTTGGTATATCTTGCGATTTAAAGAGTGTCGATTTCATTTGAAAATCTTGAAAAACATTTGTAACAGAGAAAAATTTGCAAAAGTTATTATGGAAAGAAAACAACACTATGCTACATATTATATTGATGACCATTTGAATGCCAAAAAGGAACGGAATTAATGTACGTACACTTAAGGACAGATTCTGTAAATCTAAATTTACAATAAGACTTCACAATGAAATGGAAATATAAGGAATCACTGTAGACAGCGATTCCTTAAATATTCTTTGGAAAATATTGTTTCATTTGAAACGCATGTATATATTATGATAATCTGAGATTAAATGTCTTCATGTCATTTGCATGTTCTTTGTCTATATACATGTTTATAAATTAATCAAAATATAACTAATAGATTTAAACGTGCGTTTTTTAAAATCTGAAAAAAAGGTATAGATAAATGCAAATTTGAATTCCATTCGGCTATACTTGTAATCTTGTGTGGGGCTTAATTAATTTTTTTTTCACTGTAAAAGACACTTAAAGTGCAGTACTTCAATATTTTTTAGAAGTGGAACTCAATAAAGCAGTAATGGCGTGAATTTAATCCACGGCTTTATTTCAAAATAATTTGTCATAGGAAATCCAATTGTATAGATAATCTACTTGAAGGAGTTATGTACATGTATCATAGTAAATCTTTGTCAAACCCAGGTTCGCAGTCAGTGAGTGTATTGGACGAAGCAACCTTCGACATCTAGGACTTATCTCAGGTCACTTCCTGATAGGTTGATCGTTAATGAATAAAATTTGTTATATCATATAAATGCCGTTATATTTTGTTATATATTAAGATGTTATAATAACTTTTCAATTAATTTACTATTCTGTTCAATCAAAATTTCCAGCAGTGCATTTTAGGAAACATAAAGAATACTGGTTGAGAGAAAAGTTTTGACTAATTAAATAAAAAAAGAAAAATGCGCAGTTTTATTTCTTTTTACTCAGAATATTCTTTATATAATTATTATATAAGTAAAACACTAACAGATATATACAATATATTACCGTGTAAAACTACAATCATGCATACAATGACTGCACAATATTGGCTTGCTTATCTTACCATTGCGTCACGTCTATGACCCATGAGATACTAACAGACGGAATTTTCTGTTCTTGGCCATTTCTACACAGAAATCAAACAAGGTAGGTTCTTAGCAATGTGCATTTTTGAGATGATTTCTAAAACAATAGATGAAATTCATATGCAGAACTATTTTTCTTGTTATTCTTAAACCTCTAGATGTTCAAATACCTCGGAGTGTTGTGTTTGTGCTTCCTGCTCAGTGGTGTCCAAGGTAACTTCCTAGATGACCTCAAACATTTTGGAGACAATGCCCTGCACACTGCTTTGGACACGCTGAGTACTGATGGCGTCAAAACCTTGGTGTCATCTGCTGTCAGCGCCGCCGGAACTGGTAAACAGACAATTACAGTACTATGATTACAGAAATATAGCACACAAAAGTATGGTTGTTATCCAAAGAAAAATAGAAATACAAATAGATTTAAAATAGTATAATAAGTAATAACACTTTTTTCACTGATTAAGGACCACTGTAGAAGATTTGAAATGAAACATATGGAGATAACAAACAGTATTCAAGATTAAAAAAAAATCCTTAAAACAATACAAAGTTTAAACGTTTGCTTTTAAATGTTTTCTATGAAAGTGTCTAACTTGATGATTTTTTTTTTTTTATTTTAGCACTTTTGTCCTCTTTGTTTGGAAAGAGAGAAACCGCGTAAGTTAAACTATCTTCTGGAAATCATTAAAGATACATGGACACAGATTTGAAGTTAATATTTTCTGTATAATATCACGACTTATATATTTTGATAGCATTTCACACTCACACACACACACACACCCTCACACACACACACAAATTAAAAATTGTATTTCATCTTAAAGTTATAGTTTTAATATTTTTTCATTTCTACACAACAAGATTGTTACTTTTCCTAAGTATTAAGAATAAAATAAAATTTGTGAAAGTGCAAGGACGTGTCAATCAAACCCGTCTAAAAATTTGAAGTTTTAATAACTTTTAGATGAAATAAGATTTTTGATATATTTTTGTGTGAAATGCTATTAAAATATATAAGTCGTAATATTATACAGAAAATATTAACTTCAAATCTGTGTCCATGCACCTTTAAAATGATTGATATACTGTATTTCCTACAGGTTCTCGATCTTCCACATCTCTTTATAGATAATGATAATCAAAACATTTCTTTTATCTTCAAGTGACGAGATGAACCAAGCCCTGGAGCTTTTGAAACAGGAATCAGAAAAAGTCCGTCAGATTTTCCACAGTTATGGCGGCCAGTTACAGACAGTGTATGATAAAATAAAGGATCTCAGCTACCTTGAACACAATGCTCCGGAGTTCCTAGATAACATCGCTAAACTCAAGGGTACAGTTTTAACAATAATTCTTTTCAAGTCCAGCTGGGCCATCCTTTTCTGCTTTTTGTGAAAGGCCTTTGCTTATCATCACTCCCTTTAATTATATGCGATGGAAATGAATTTTCCCTCAATTAAACGGTAATGATTGAATTATGTTTATGCACGCATATTTTATTGTAATTTTAACTTGGATATTCTGCTGCAGTGTAGGAAAGGCAGATATTGACCATTTAAGATGTAGTATGAGCAATTTTATAATGTTACTCGTACTTGTTCCATACTTTTTGTACTCTAAAGCACAACATTTTTAAAAATATAACTTCCGTAGCTGAATAACGTTCAAGATTACATAATTAAACTGGAAATGTACTTGATTTTAGGTCAGTACAACGCTGTTCTGGATAAGATTGTTGCAGAGTTCCACCAGAAGATGAGTGAGATCCATCACTCCAGAAAGAGGGGACTTCTGGATGGCTTCGCCGCAGCTTTCCAGAGCACTGTCGACAATCTCAAACAGGTGACTAGAAACTTTAAGAATATCAAGTATTTGTTATTTAAACGAAAATGAAAAAATACATTTTGAAAAAATAACTTGCTAGCAGGGGTATCATGAACAACAATACTTTAACACAAAAACAATTGATTTTTTTTACTTAATCATAATTACAAGTTACAAAGAACACTTTTAAAATGAAAAAAGAAAGTTTTCCTATGGTGAGGTATTTAAAAAAAATAAAACTCAAATCGTGTTTGCTTCTTACAGACCTTTGGTGGTGTTGCTGACCTTCTGCACGGAGGCGGAAGTGGCCTTTTGACCCAGCTGACCCAGCACCTCTCCGGAGCCACTGGTGGAGTAGGAGCTCAGCTGTCCAGTCTGAAGGAGACTGCAGCTCAACTCCTGGCTACCGGTCAGGAGACACTCCAAGGTGTCCATGAAACTGGAACAGGTACCCTCGGTAAGATATGAATAGCTACTCAGTATTTAAATGTGTTTACTGCTTGTGTATTGTAAGAGATTTTGTATAATAGATTAATCGCTGATTTACTTTATTTTAAAGTAACCATCGTTTACTATTGATAAATTCGTTTATCAACTATAGTGTATTGTAATGTAACAATACGTTTTGCTCATTTTTGTGTCGCTACAAAGCAAAACGTCACCTGCAGATCAAATTTACCTCTCGTCTGTCTGTTCATCTTTCACAAACTACATGTATCTTGATACCTGTAAAAGGTGTAGATTTGATATTTAGCACAAATATTGCTTGGTACTTTTTGATGTGCCATGTTGACTGACCTTGCAACTGTTGACCTTTTTGACATTTGAGACGAAATGTTGAGAAAACAAACAGTAATCAAACAAAACCATCAATCAAAAACAAATCGGGAGCAGAAAAAACACGGACCAAGTGTGATCAGATACCATGAGGGAGTAAAAATCCCCTTTCGACCGGTCATACTCGCCTTGTGCTCTTTGTCAACGTCTTACTAACGGTAAATCCGTAAAACCTCAGACTAAACTAAATAACAAATATCAATGAACCAATACATTCTGGTTTGAATTAGACCTGAATACTAAAAAAATTCTCTACGGAACTCATAGAAAATTTGAAAAACACAAAATTAATAAAAATCAATAACTTCAAAATGTAAATTTTTTTAACACTTTATACAACTCGTATTTATTACGTAAAATTATTTACCTTGTCATCGGTCATTAGCAAAATTATTTTGTATAATAATATTCTGAATGTACATACAAGTACTCCGAAGATGATAGCAAATGCATTTAGATGCTTATTTTCAAAACAACATCTGACAATATCTATGTTGTTTTTGGAATTCAGGAAAAAAGTCTCTTGCCTTCGATTTAGTATCTACATATATCGACGACATTTTTTCAATTTAGAATACTCCTTTTCATTCCTTCATTAATTCAATAACGAGTATACCCCTAAATCAAAATTATAAAAGAATACGCAGAGTTAGCTGAAGAATTGTAGCGTTACAGTTTCAATTTTAAACTTAGGTCATAATACTTCAGATCCCGTAATGCTAATATGGGATCTTTGGTCCGTGATTGCTCTTCTCTCGATTTATGTTTTTGAGCTTGATTACTTGTTCAGTATCTTCCTATTACATGCAGGAAGTGAAAAAATGATATTTTTTCTTTGGATGCAAATACCTGAACTGTAGTTTTTAATGCAAGGAGAAAAAAAAAATGCTTACGATCTTTAGACCTTCATTTCAATCTTCAATAATGCGTTCCTCGGGACACTCAACTTGGTATATTTTGTACATGTGAGTTATAAGGGTCCACAAATGAACTTGAGTAAGATATTTTACTATATACATGTATTTACATTGCATGCCATTTTCGGTATCTCTATTGCACAGATCAACTTCACAGCGGTCTGACCGGAGCTGGATCACAACTTGTGGATACACTGCTGCACCCCGCAGGCACAAAATAGACGTCAGATTACTTTGTAATGAAATATAATTAATACAATAAATATTTTAACAAACCAAATTGTTCTTTTCTTTTTCACTTTTTTAACAAAGGCATTTACGCAGATAACGCAAATAATATTCTTAATTTTAAAAAGTTTCCATTCTTGAATTCTACCATGTTTCAATTTGAAGTCCAGACCTTGTATTCCTTACAAATGTAAATAGACAATTTTTTCGATACATTTTAATTTATGAAAAATACTTCTATATATTTAAAGTACAGGACTTACAATAATCTTATGGAATTCCCATGGACACAAGTGCCGTCTAATTATTAGCAAACTTCTATTTGTATTCATATGAAACATAATTTATTTAACATTTTCTACATGAGAAGAAAACCGTTGCCGTTGCTTTTAACTCGACATTTAGATATATCAACAACGTATTATCAACTAACAATAGTGCCTCCCATTCATATATGTCGTCTCAATATATTCAGTGAGCTTGAAAAAAAAGATACCAATAGCCTGATACTTCTGTATAATATATATCTGAATACTAATATTTTGACAGAAAGAGAAGACAATTACACCTTACAACAAAACTATACTGACACGCAAAAGAAACGCAACAAGCCGTATTCTATAAATGTTTGAATTTTTCAAAAATGAATACAGTAAGGCTAAACTCACTTTTCATAACATCAGATATTTGATAAAAAAGTTAAAGGATTATCTTTTAACTTTAGAAATAATATATGACTGTTAAAATACCCCCCTCCCAGTCATTCAATGGTGCAAGACTGCCCTACACAACAATTGCAGCTTAATTTCTACGATACAATAGGTTCATCAATATCGAGATCTGACTGAAGGAATTATTCTTTGCCATTTTTAAATGCCTGTTTTTCAGATGATTAAGTCGAATTTTCTCTAACCTAGCGCAGTGTTGTAACCTTGGACTTCCAGTCCAAGTACTGTCATTAATGTTCATGATACGTAAGAGCCTGTTGACGCATAATGTAGTAAATTTTTGCATCAGTAACTCTCCATCACCTTTATTTTGATATTTTCCCGCTACAGCATGAAAATGCGTACTTAAGTCATTTTCAGCAAGGCTTAGCATCGCTACGGGAAACGGAAGGAGAAATATTGCTGCAATACTTATGATGAACAGTTATCAACCCTTAAAACTCCAAAATATTGCCAACTGTTTTGTTAAACATGCAATTTTCTATTTCTGTTAAGCAGACTCAAACTTAACTTCCGGTAATGGTTTGAAAGTCGTTCAACCGTTAAATTACCGATATTCACAAAATTGAAGATATTCATATTTTTTAGATATGAAATTCTTTACTATATATAATTATTTCCCCTAAAGTAGCGTGTTGCGTTTCTTTTGCGTGTCAGTATATATGATAACCTGATGACTTTAAACATTTTATTCTGAACTTCCCTTACTGACGCAGCTATCAAATCAAACCCTTATCATGAATATGAAGTTTATGTCTTTAAGTTGATTCGATAAGCAAGAGTGTGGCAAGCTTAGAACAAATGTGGCGATTAACCAAGGATATCAATTCATCTTTGTTTGAAGTCAACCTCCGCGACTTTTATAGTCAATACATTGACCTTGTCAGCGTATACATCATACCATTCGCCAAGTGCTGACTGACGTTTTTCATATATATTGTTAGGCCATTATTTAAACATTTTTTTCTCGTTTTTACCGGATCAAGACAAGGAGCACAAAGCGGGGGTGTCCGATCGTCAGGGGATGCCCACTCCTCTATTCGGCACCTGATCCCACACCTCTTGTGTTTTGGGGTCCGTGTTTGCTCTTCTCCCAATTTTTTATTATTTAAATGGACTTTGAGCTTAAGTACTGTTCGTTATCTCCATATTTCATATTTAAGGAATGAATTTATAGGTTCCAAAGTTATATTGCCAACCTGGTTTCGAACGCTTCGCGGTTTATAAAACGCATAAACTGTCCCAACCAGGTTATCTTACTTGATATAACTTTGGTAGCTATTAAATTCATTCCTTATAATTCCTTACGAAAGTGGACAGATTTTAGAAAAATAAAGTAACATCATTCAATTGATACACGTTGGCAACACAAATTATTCAAAGAAAACCTAATTTTTATCCATCAAATGACGCGTTACAACCACAATTTTACAATTATTAGCTCCTACACGGAACCAGTGTTTCTGAGTACTTCACAAAGACTTTGGTATATGGTCTGAGATGTAAAGTGTGATAAAAAAGCTTCGTATTTAGCTTTTTTAATTCATGCAGATGCATGTTGTGTTAAATATGGCGATGTTAAGAAGTGGAAAGGTCGATAAATTTTTGATATTGATATTTTGAAAACAAAAAAAGTACTAAGTTAACAACTGTATTATAGTTAACTATAATTTTCCATATTAAACTATGGGCTTTGTGTAGCGCTGACTTTACAGTTGACGGCTTACTTTTACACGAGGACAATGTACAGAATGTACGAAAATAATGGGTTAACGACAATCATTCTACCCTTAACTTCCAGCCTCAACATGTTAATGTCCCGAAAACCATACCTATGACCACTAGAAAGGTTTCTTGTCTTTTATTGATTCTGTACAACATTACACGATACAGGTTTAAATGTTAAAGTAAACCGTCAACTGTAAAAGTCAGTGCTGCTCGCAAAAGTCCTATAATTAATAAAAGGTTCCACTATTATAGTAAATAAATGCATTTTTACTATGAATTTCAGATAGATGTATTCAATTTTTTTAACTTCCCACAAGTAATTTTTAATATGAAAATTAAGTTGTTCTCGTAATTTTACATATTTTATCAAAATATTACATTATTGGTATGTTATAAAAGAAATATCAAGGCTCTTACTAATCGTAAAAAAAAGATTTAGATTAAAGTTTCATAGTAAATCAGTTTCAAAGTATTCGCTGTAGTTAACTTTAGTAAATACTCGTACATATTTTAACTAAAGGTAAATTTTTGTTAGGGTGAGTTTGTGTAAATTTTAATGCACTTTTGGTATAATTATTGTATATTGACAAATGCAAATACGAGGAGTATATGGCATTTGTCAATATTTCTATTTTTACAGTATATAATTAAATAAAACACAATAATGATCTTAAAGTATTTATTTTCTCAAGAAAACTCTTGCATAGGAAACATTATCCATTTCTTCAATAGAAAAAGACGCAACATACTATATCTATATGTAAACATTACTCTATAGTCTATAATTCTATAAAAATAAGCTTCAACATGTAGGAACACAGACCGTATTTCTGATATTTACAACAATTAACAATTAATAACGTAACATATCCTTACAAGTCATGAGTGCCCATTCAAACTCTTGCTTGCACCAGACATTGAAGACGATTCACAATCAGCTTAGCAGAAATTCTTAATGCAATGTTTCCCGTTTTCAAAATTTTCTATTTTAGTGTGTTTTGCAGTAAAAATATTTCAACTTATGGAAAGATTATTTTTATCTCATTGTCATTGCTAGCATATCCTCATCATTCTTTCCAGCCTATTTTCATGCATACCCAATCATTTCTCGTCTTTATTTCTTTTAAACTTTAATTCATTCAACCCTGACAGACAACCTTAGCCAAATAAATGATAATCTGTGTTCTACCGACTCGTCCATAAGATTAAAATATTATGCACTTTATTGTTTTAAATCTCTGTTATCTATGAAACGCGATTGATTTGAACTGTGTAATTTAGAGGAAAGTCATATCTTTATATAAAGTAGCAAACCAAATAAAAAGATCTTTAATTTTTTCTTAATTTAAGTTAGTCTGAACTTACCAAAAATATGCCATATATGACTTTAAAAAGTATCTTCATAAAGAAATAAAAACCACTGACTGGCAAAGTTGACAATAAAGTTGAACTTTGCCAAAAAAAACTAACAAACAATCATTGCATTCAAAACAGCTAGGCCGCAATGTATGACAAATTAAGCAAATATATACATTAAGTTAATAAATAACAATTTAACAAACTTCAAATTGTCCAATGTTCTATTGGGAACAAATGTCATAGTAGAAAAATATGAAATGGAATGCCCGTGACATCATGGGGAAACGGTATAAAATAACTGAAAACATGTGTTACTGTCTTAAAACTTCAAAATAATATAAAACAGCCAAAAAAGTTCATAAAATAACAAAACAAATGCTTATTTTTAAAAATCTAATGTTGACCACACAGCAAGCTACGCCATATATGTGCAAAAATAAAGCAAGAAAAATTCAATATTAAAAAAAAAAAAAAAACAATCGCTATCAAAAATCTTTTGATTTAAGCAAATGCCAATGTAGATACAGGTTTAATCACAGATAGCGTTATATATTATACCTTTGGGACAATTATTGAGAGGTCAAATTTTAAAAGGTTACATTTCATGAAGAGATAAGAGATCACATTATGAATATGTTTTCAATCTATTAGTATACAAGTTAACCCTGAGGAAGTGGCAACTTAAGAAAAGTTAACTCAGCACTACCCCCACCTAAAGTCTCTTTTTGTTCAACATACATAAAAAAAGCATGAAAGACATCGCAGACTTACCGAAAGCCCTCTGGGTTTATTGATGTTCGATATTAAATTAAGGAAAATTATACATACACAAAAAGAACAAGTGATTTATAAACACTTGTCTCACAATAAATGTAAAACATTATTCTAATCTAGTCATAATTGTGCTTTAAAATTCTGAAAAAAATATAATTAAACTTGAGTGCAATGTGTGATAAATTAAAGTGCAAGCTTATACTATTTTTGAAATACATGTATTTCTGGTTGGTACTAATTAAGCCAGCGTAGATTTTTCTGAACCAAAGCAAAAGGCTGCCTTTTTTTGTTTCCTCCACCTGAAAACCCGGAAATGCAATCCACACGATGCCATTTTTTGACAAACCATACATGGAATGTGTCGATACATTTGCAAATATCACCAGACCTCGCATTTAGTTTGTGGACTATATTCTGATATGAAAGGACAGTCAAACACTTTTCCAAAAGTATTTGAATTCTGCAAGGTGCCCTTCACACTAATGGGATGAAAAAAAAAATAATCAAGTTACGCTTTAGATCACTATTTCTTGTAAATTTTTTGAACTAAATTTCGATTTAACTCTGATGTTTATGGGCTATACAACCTAAAATTCTAAATCTTTCTTTTGATTTTGAAAATCTGTGTTATTAAAAAAATTAATATTCTTTAATTGAAATAAAATTAAAGAAGGGAAAAGTCAAAATTTTCTATTACCGTAATGGCCCAGGGGAATGGTCATCACTTAATAAATAATTCCGTAAACCCGAACGTTTCCACTTAGTACAGAACATCTGTATATATAAAAACATATATTGTTGATGTTATAGCATTTTAAAATTCAAAACCTTTAAGAATATCACCAGATTAGAGAAACATACTACCTGAGCGTAACTAACGTAAAACAGTTGCTTATCTGTCAAATTCACACCGGGAAGATTCGGTGTAATTCCATTTTCATTTTCCCAAATTTGAAATGCCTTTAAAAGACAGAAAAGATGTAAAATAGTGTCATAATTTTATGGTGTTTAAAGACATATTTAAATCAAATATATTTATGAACAGAAATAGTAGAAACATCTTACTATGTAAGCAGCGCGTAATCCACCATTATCCGCTATGTTTTCGTCCAGTGTTTTCTCCCCATTTATCTACATTTACAAAATATACATATCTGGAAAATTTATAATCTCTTTTTGCCTTTTGTGGGTTTTCATATTCTGTTACAAAATGAAATTAATCAAACATTTCATATAACATGAAAAGTAAACATACAAAATTTTTTTTAACGTTGGCAACGACCATATCTGCCTGGATCACAACTCTGACATGTGTGACTTGGATATCTCATAGTGATATTTACCGTCTCAGATTGAAATGATTCATATTATTTTACTCTGTCAAAATGACAATAATGTATGCTCTATATCACTGACCTGTAGTCCGTCTAGCTTGAATCCGTCATACTGTTCTCTCATACACCCCGTGGTCTTCTCAAACAGAGAGGCCGTGTACGGTTCCCACCATTCCTTCAGCTTCCCCTTACTGTCATACTGACGTCCTAAAACGAGGCACAGTGACCTTATTATAATAACTATAAAAAGGTTCATTCCGTCCAATTCCCACTTTATAAACACTGGGTCTGAATTTTCCCAACATCAGTTGAAGCAAACAAGCATTCGGCTTATGAATATCTCTTTCCACAGTTATCATTTATATTTGACGAATATGGAAGAAAATGCATTTGTGGTAATATTAGTTTGTTTGAAAAGAAATCCTCAGTTCAATTTCTACAGGTTGTTTTAACGCTTATGTTGTTTTTACAACATTTAAGCATAAAAATTTTCTTAAACTTCAATTTTTCAGTGATGAGTCAACATCAGATTGATGTACGCAATGATAAATTAAAAAGCAGTTTTCGGCGTGAAGGGCTACAGTGGTGATATAACCATTCTTTCATGCACACTTCTATGCATAACCAATTCTGATTGATAACATATAATGAATTCAAAATAAACTAGTGCTAATTGTAACGGGGACCGTTACAGATGTTCCCCAAACGCTCCCCAACTCCCTTTTGGTGCCATATTCCCTGTAAGCTTCATTAAATAGGACAAACTCTATGCATTTGAAATTTTAACAAGATTTACCCAGAAGTGAACCAAGTTCATTCAAATTTTAGCATATGCGTCATGACCATATCATCATGTCTACACAATCTGTATATTTTAATACACTGAATATTAAAGTATTTAATCCAAAATTATTTAAAAAATACGCTCATTCAAGTGTATTTTTGATTTTATTCATATCACGTGTACGCACGTGCATACATGAGCATGGTGACCATACCTTCTTGTAGAAGTCCATTACATCTATCTATGTTCTAAATTCCACCCCGCTTGGTTGAAAACCAAGGGAGTTATAGCTGTTTAAAGTTTGAGCCAATCAGATTGCAGCGCACGTACACGCACGTGTATGCATGTGCATGGTGACCATACCTACTTGTAGAAGTCCATTATATCTATCTATGTTCCAAATCCCATCCTGTTTGGTTGAAAACCAAGGGAGTTATAGCTATTTAAAGTTTAAGCCAATCAGGTTGCAGCGCACGTGCATGCACATGTTTTCGTGATAATTGCTTTATTTCATGTTGTAGGATATCATAATGCATGGCTATGTTCAAAATTTCAAAGGATTTCGTCAAAAAACAAGAAAGATATTGAGAATTTAGTATCAGCCAATCAGAGCGAAGCGCACGTGCATGCGCGTGAGATCTTGCTATTTTGACCATATCATATTGTCTATGCTACTAATATATCATCAGATTATGAGTTTCAAAGCATTTCATCCAAAAATAGAAAAGTTATGGCTATATCTATTATATTGGTCATTTCACGCGTTGCACGTGCACGCTCTTGCAAGCACGTGCGTGCAAAATGACCTTCATTCCGCAAATCTACATAACATGCTTACTGACCCTAAAAAAGGTTTTACCTAAGTCGGATGTGTAGTTTACAAGATCACTCCCGGACAAAAAAGTACCCAGGAAGAAGAAGAAGAAGACTAGATATGAAACTCGTTGCGAGCAACGAGAGGTCTTCCGTCATTTCCGGAAAGAAGACGTAAAATCGAGCTGAAAAAGTAAAAAAAGATTTGCACACAAGGAGGATTAAACCCAAGTCGCTAGCACGGAATTCCAACGCACTAAATATTACGCTATCGGGACCTCTACTCTAAATCTACTTGTATATATTAACGAATATGCTTCTCTCTTAAAATTATGAAAGGCAGGTCACTATTCAAAATTTAACGCCAAACGCCACGAGTTAATCTTCGCGCTTTTTCTTTGGAATGTTCTATTAAATAGGTGTCAAAGCTTCAATGAAATTAAAAAAAAAGAACGTTCTCATAGCCTAAGATTCCAGATTTAGAAAGTATATTTAACACATTTTAAAAATTCCATATTGTATATATGCTTGTATAAGGTCATACATCATTTTATATATTTCTTCCATAAATCTCAAAAAAGAATTGAAAATAAGTTTCCAAGGGACAATTCAAGTTGGCCTTTATTTTCAACACAGCTGAGTACTTGTAGTAGCCCACAATGCATTGCGGCTCATTCATCAGTGGGTAAAGTAAACAGATAGCTAACTTACATGCAAATTTATTCTGACGTCAGAAAATCTAGTGGTCTCGACCTGTGTAACACTAAAGCGTTGAAACGGTTATGATTTTTTTTTCAATTTCCTGTTTACCCCAAACTGAACTATCCCGATTAGTTAATTGAAAAAGGTTGAAACGTTTCGCCTAAAATCATGTCTCGCCCTTTGATGTTCAAGGAATCCGAAATCATTTATGCTCAATAACTTGAATCAGGTCTTTGAAACAAGAATGCTAAAATAAACTTCATGAAGCGATCTTTAAAAAAATCGTTTTCTTATTTTTGTCTTATTTATAGTTTAATATGACACAAGTGTGCATAGGAAAAACAGTGGTGAAGATTTATACTGGCAATATAAATTGATATTCTTTTTTGAGAAAGTATTACTTATAAGTTTTTCCGTGATGCACAAAAGATATTATGTATCGAATTTCATTTGCACATTGTGCGCAATCGTCTTTTGTTTTTCTACTTTGAAAACCAGCCAAAACCAATTATAGAAGACGTTAGTTTGACACAGAACTGCAACGAAACTACGACGTGACAATCCAAGTATGCCTTTACATTTCATTTATTCTTATGTTACTTTCGTTCAAGCAAACGCTCGGCTGCCTCCGTAAACCGCTATTGCGAAATGTCGGCGTTGACAGAGACAGCCGCCATTTTGGACCCGCTTCAGATTTTTGAATGCTAATATCAAGACTTTAGATATGTTAACATTCAAACAAATTAAATAGTAAGCATTATTCGGAGGGCTTCTACTACCATACCAAATATAAATGAAAAATACTGAAAAACAAAAAAGTTAGAAAATACGCATTTTTTAAGTTTGCAATTCGTAACGACCGGAAGTACTGACGACGCACGAAAAGGCAATTCTGCAAACCACAAAGCCATGATTTATCATTTCAAATAAGTCTCCAGTTCATATCCTTAGCCATTTTCGATAAAAAGGGGAGACAAAATCGCATTTTAAAATCAGGAAATTGTCCATAACTTGGCACCAGAAGCGAATTTTCCAAATTTCTCTTCGGATGTAACAACTTCATATAATGACACATATTTTGTGAAAGTTTCATGAAAAACCGCTGAATAGTTTTTGAGAAATCGCCTGCACAAAATTTTGTCAAAAAAAAAGAATAATAATAATAACTAGAGCCGAGCTCGTTGCAAAGCAACGAGTAGGTCTTCCGTCCTGTTTGACCGGAAGTAACTTTAATTAAAAAAAAAAAAAGAGTAATGAAGTCCAAAAATGGTTTAACCCTCCTAATCTATGTTAATTATTGCAAAACTAAGCCATTTTTTGCTACTTCCGGTGTAACCGGAAGTGACGACGACGGACGGAAAATTAATTTTTATGCTTCCAGTGACAGATGTTACCCAAAAATTGCCAAGAAAGGCAAAAATATGCATTTTCTGACTACTTCCGGTTTGACCGGAAGTGACGACGCCGGACGTATTTTGACGACACCAATGAATTAAGATTGACATTTTAAACATTTTTGCTTCTTTGATGTATTACAAATTCTCAATACTTTTTGAGATATAAAGGAATATCTTTCGGCCCCTCCATGCCCTTAATTTTAGGGGCCAGCCCTTTTCTCGTGATATCATTTGAAAGATCTTGGGATTCTACAATTCTTTTGTTCTATATGTTTAAACAAAATATTTCCAGGTAAAAAGATATCGAAGAAAAGGTGTCAAAAAGTTTGAAATTCACGATAGGACTTTTTTCTGGCCCTAGCGAGCGCCGACGTGCGGCACTTCCAATAAAAATGAAATACATTCCGCAAATCTACAGACATAGGTCTACCATACCTGAAAGTATCATGTGTCTATCGAAAGCCGTTTAGGAGAAATCGTGCGGACAAAACGACACTCAAAAAACCATTTAAAAGACGATAACTCCGGACCGGAAGTGACGTCATCAAAACGGAAAAAAACGCATAAGGTTCAAGTGATGTAACATAAGTCCTGAAAGTTTCATGGAAATCCATCGAGCCGTTTTTGAGAAATCGCGTGCACAAAATCGGTAAGAAAAAAAAACAATAATAATAAAAGTGAAAAAGAAACCTAAGAATAACAAGAAGGTCTTCCGCTGAAGACGGAAGACCTTAATAAGAAACAGTAGAATCACTATAAGGTCTTCCGTGAAGACGGAAGACCTTAAAAAATAATAATAAGAAACAGAGTAAAAACAATATGTTCCCCAACTTCGTTTGGGGAACATAATTACCTGTGATATCAAACGCATGTGTTATTTCATGTCCAATGATGGAGCCCATTGCTCCAAAATTAAGAGCTCTAAAAAAGAAAAAAAAATAATTAAATCTTCCAAGCATAAGATCCACGGTAATTAAAAGCATATAAAAGACTATCTTGTCTTACTGGGGTCCATTTGGAGAATAGAACGGAAGATGAAACATGGCGATCGGAAACATGATGTCGTTTCTTTGAGGTGAGTAGTCAGCTTCTACCGTCACTGGTGTCTGCATCCAGCTGTAGGATTGCAACAGGAAAAGATATAGAAAAGTGAAACGCTATAGAATAATTAAAACACACAGAAACAAAATATTAGTTCATTTGATATTCTTTTAATCTTTTCATAACTTTGAACATTTATTTCTAATGCGCAAGCAAACCGTAGAATCAAAGAACTGGAAGTGCAGAAGGTTATATATACCTGTGTCGATCTACAACTTTATGATACATCTCCACGCTCTTTGTGACATGAAACGTCTTCATATTCTTTATATTCTTGAACCAATCGTCGCTTACCTCAAACTAATAAAAATAAGATTTCATCATTTATAGACTATTAATCTTATCTTTAGAAAATTCAAAGAAATTTTCCATCCACACTGAAGTTCAATACCAACCTCCTTGTAGTATTGATCGAGGAAGTGTGATTTCAGGATTTCATCGGGATAACTAATCTTCTCTAACATTTCAGTTATCTGAAACATAGGAAACATATGGACGAACTGATGGGTAACCCTTATATCCACTCCTTTGTCCAATAGTTGAGAAACTGAATTGAATAAAGTAGTAACAACCCCCTTGCAGTAACAGATCTGAATTTATGCGTTTCCTTTTACTCACTTTTTCCTCTGCGTGACTCCTCGTACTTGTGTCCATCCAGATTTTGTCCAGGAGATAGTCTCGGAACGCTATTTTTATATCTCTTACTAGAGTTTGTAGCTGAATAAAAAATAAAAAAAGGATGATTTACTATTTAATTTTATCTCAGGGCACCTTTTAAAACCAAAAGCTAGTTAAGGGTTATACCAGGCAACAATTCAGAAAGTTTTTATATACATATAGACTATTTTTTCAAGCCCCGCAATTAGTTTTACATGAAAACCTCCCCCCTTTCTCTCTTTATGTGTGTCTTGTTATGAGTATCTGTGTGCCCTAACCTTTTGAACTGACACTGCTTGTTGCGTTTCATTCACATACATGGCACCTGTCACAAAACCGAATGCTTTATTTGTGTAGAAGGCACATCTTCTCCAGTGCTCCCCTTCATTTTCTATTTCTGTAAATTAAATGCAGTCCAATGATGTTATCTTTCTCTAAATGACACATGATCTTTCCGTCTGCTATGCCTCAATGAATTATCTCTCCTCATGATAAAAAATGAAAAATTCTAGAGTGTAATGAACAAATTACAAAATATAAAGTGTAATTTTCTCTGAGATGGTATCAATAAGAACCTTCTTCGATATCAGCATCGTCATCATTGAAAGTGCTGACGTCAAAATACGGGACAAAGGACCTCACTAGGTGTACCATCAAATAATGTTTTAAAACACTACAAAAAAAAGAAAAAAATATTTTAAAAATATCAATTGAAATGAAACTGAAATATATGTTGAGAGAGAGAGAGAGAGAGAGAGAGAGAGAGAGAGAGAGTTACTTGGTCTTGCTGGCATCTTTGATGTAGGAGTCAACCAAGGAGCAGAGCTTAATCAGCCCTGATTCATGTAGCACCACTACTTCTGTGTCAACGTTGATAGTCACTTGAGATTTATAGAGGATTCTTAATAAATACAGGTCCCAGGTCAGCTAGAAAACAGGAAATGTTTTAATTTCATCAATGTTTTTCAATAATAATGAGTGGTTAGTATTTTAATTCAACCCTAACTCATTAAAATAAAAATTAAACACTTTGTGAATTTTAAGAAATATTTTTTCCATTTCCCCAATGATACTGCGTGCATGTATGAAATTGCAAGTATTAACACCTTTTTTCTATGTACTATTAGTAAATTAAATTATGATTACCCTGTTAAAAAGACCGAACACCTAAATTAAAAAAAAAATCTTTACGAACCATTGGACATTTCCGCTGAAGGTCTTTGATTTTCGTCAGGGTGAATGTAGCTGATCTATTGTGGCTGTGTTCTTCACTGTCACGTGTCTAAGATAAACAAATGGCGATTCATGGTTTATTTACAATCAAAAATAAATATTTCTTCGCAAGGCAACAATTCATTTTTAATTTTTTATCATAAAGACATTAATGTTTTTCAATAATAATAAGTGGTCAGTTTTTTAATTCATTGCTAAAAACTGATTAGCGTAATCTAGTAATATTTGTTCTAGCAATTGGTCAGTGTAAAGTTAGAACTATAACGCAATACATCACAGATATCGATACTATCGATATTGTAACTTTTAGGTCTAAATCGAAATATAATACATACTTCTGATGGTACTTATTAGACCGGTTTTTAAAAATACCGGCAGAAGATTTATTCGGAATTCTTACCCATCCGATGTTTTTCTCCAGTTTCAGCAGATTCTGAGATAGAGATTCCGCTTCCTCTTCCGTCTTGTTGAACACCACTCTCAGAATCCTTTTTGTTTCTCTCATGTAATTTTTCACTATCTGTACAAGCATTTCAAAATGTCAGAAACATTTTACCTAAAGCAATTTGGCTTTCATGTACTGTATCGTTTTCTCATTTTCGCATTCCCGCAATTAATAACGGTTTGTTGCAACGAACGCAGGTGTACATTAAACTTCAATGACAATAAAAAGTTTATCAAGTGCCTTAAGCTCTGATGAAAGTTTAGACAAAATTACGTAAGCTGGATTGATCTTATTTTTCGTGTGATTTTACACAAAATACATTATGGAAAAGTTAATATTCGATTAAATATGAATTTAATTGAATGTCATGTAAACCATTAATCTAGAATGTTAAGCCACTCAAGGAAATCATACATACCTCATTGAGATCCCAACTAAGGTAGGTGGGAGTGTTTTTCTGCAAACGCTGGTACGTCGGCGGTGGAGGGGAGGTTTCGTTGTTATGTTGAGGCGCAGTATTAACTGTCGCGGGAGATTCGGACGGTTTTGGAAAGCTTTGGAATGGGTACTGGGTATAACCATAGTCTATCTATAAAAGATAATTTAAAAACATGGTTCACTTTCTTCAAGAAAAACTGCAACTTTTCAATTTTCGTCAGGAATCTTTCTGTAGATTCCAAAATTTATAATCGTCTTAGTTCGCGAGAAGCACCACTGGCAAAATCAACTTAAAAAAAAAAACTTTTGATGTGTGAAAACCTTAAGTTTGAAAAATCTATCGAAAAACAACTCACTTGATTTTCTGTGCGCAATTGAATGCGTTTTAGATCAATTCGCGAAATTAAGTTCCCTCGTAAAATAAGGAATCTAGAAGACAGTATTTACAGTATTCACCAAAATATTCAGTAGTTATTCACCTTGACGACATTAACATTCTCGGAAGACACTTCATTGGGGCCGACGGACACTGTGAAGAGGGGCCAGGCGTCCAGTAGGTGGACTTTCTCTAGCATCACGGCAAAGTTAAAGTCGCCGTCCACCGAGACATTTCTGATGAGGTCCGTGAAGTCCGCTAACGTCTGAGATCGCTTCTGTCGGCTCTCCGACATACAACTCTTGTAAAACTGTTTGGTTTTCTTTCCGGAATCATACTTCACAGAACTACCCTGCTTTTCTGGAAAGTTTGTTCATTTTATAAAAGAAATGTCGGCTAGGATGTTTCACATTTTTTTTTCATAGAAAACACTATAATTTTTGTTTCAGGAAAAGTAACTCCTTGTACTTTTAAAAACAATCGATATTTGTCGTGAAAAAAATATAATAGCGCAAATTTAAATTACTGATAACTAGAAGAAGAAATTTACACTCCTGAAATGGAAAAAAAGAAAGTTCGCCTCTGAAGTTATGCTAAGGTAGTGTATAATCAAATAAGATGTAAAAACCAAATCTGTCCTTCAAAATTTAAAGTAAAAGTCACCATTAATTTATCTATCTTAAAGTACGTTTATTAGAGTACAGACAACTACATGTTTTCAGGCATTCGTAAAGCCAATTTCCGTGTACTTCCTTTTCCCCGATTTCCTACAATTTGATGTTTATGACTCACACTCGTTCAAACTTGAAACGATAATCTGCGACAGTCGCAGTGTGCATTGTACATTATAATTACCCAGAATGCCTTTGAGGTGATGGAGATTGATATATGACAGTTCTTGTATCCGGTCCCACATGGAGTAGCCGGGAGGGATGGGAGTGTCCCTTTCCCACCCTCCACACGCATACTTGTAAAAGTCAGTACACGGATTTACGGATTGATCCATAGACTTCAGAATAGAACCCGCTGCCAGTATACATTCTTTGGTTTCACATACAAATCGAGGGTCTGAAAGATGTACGGAATACATATATAAAAAAAATCATGTCTTAGTTAAAGAAAGCTAATGCAGGGAACACAAAATGGTGAAAGTGGTCAACAGTTGTAAGGAAGGAAAAGGTCTGAAAATTTTATAAAATGGACACTTTTAAAATTTTCTTTTTAATTCACTTGCAAAATACTGTCCCCTTTATTCATAATCATACGCAGATTTTTTTAAATAACTTATATTGATTAAATGGTGAATGCTGCTAGTCACACCTTGCGTGCAATTTCATAAGTGCATAAACATGAATATGAATTCAATGGTCATATTTCTATAAAGATATTTTTATTGCTAGATAACAACATAAAGTCTAAAATACTCCTAGTTTGGCAGTCAGTTTCATTACTTTTTTAATGCGTGTGTGTCGTTATGTATAGAATAACAGTGTATCTTATATAAAAACAAAATACATAATGTAGCAAAATGGTTGATGTAAGTGTACACTATAACGTTCTAGTAAAATTAAATTTTCGTTAAATGCTTTTACAATTTCAATGCAGTGTTCTTTTAAAATACATATATCGATCACTATTTTATTGAAATGTGTTCACATCAATGACGTTCCATTTAATAATTTCAAGAAACTGTGTCCGACCCTTTCGTTTTAATATTTAAACAATAAAATGTGTTCGAACCTTTAGGACACAAATATCAGTCTATAGCAAAAATCGGAAAAACCATAGCGTGATTAAATCAATGTTGATTAAGCATGTTATATTTATATAAAGAACAGTTTTAAATTGATTATTTAATATAGCCTGGAAGAGGAGTTATTATATACTGTATATATATACTTGTAACATAGAAACCCTCTATGAAATAAACACATTAATTATTTATACCCACACAGCCGTTTTTTTTTTAAAGCGATCAATTAGTCTCACAACAAATATTAGAGGTATGATCTTTTTTCTATCTCTTGTGGTTACTGGTTAAATATCTATAAAGCTTTGTAGATAGCAAAACTAATTCAAAGCAGGGTTATCAAAGCGCTTTATGTCATGCCCAGGGAACAGGAAAACACCCTAATGAGATTAGTCAACATAATCAATTAGGAAAATGAAAGGGATTTTCTAAATTGTCTAATCACAAATTGATTTTTTTTTAAACTACAACTTTCATGTATATATTTCAAAGAATATAACAGATCTGGTTCCCGAGTGAATGAATTTCATATAAAATATGGTTTAAAATAATGTGAGCGTTGTAGGCCTATATGAGGGCGGCTGCATTTTTGGCTTACCTGGTCCAGATTTTCGTTGTGCTAACGCAATAATTAAGGCAAGAGTTACAATAAGGAGGACTATGATGAAACCACCGCAACATTTCTCCAACCCGGTTCTTTTCCGTAAACATCCGGCTTCGATTTTACATTCCTCTCGGTATTCTCCCAAAATGTCGTCTTCAGAATCCACACGATCGAACTCCTTGATCTGAAAGACATTGGTGAATCTCAATCATAGTAAGTTGCATATATCTTTGACCAATTTTACAAAAATGTCGAAATCAGACTTAATGAGTCTTAAATCTGTCCCAACTGGACAAAGTTTCCACTAGCAAGGACACTCAAAACACGAATGATGTTCTACATGTATAACTAAACGAACATTGAGTGCATCACTTGTAAAATATCTGGCATTTTTGTCACTTTTAGTGGGGACAAATAAAAGACTTTTTAAACTGAATTAAAGAGGTGTAAAATATAGGTCAGAGGCAGCATTTAATATACAATGTACTATGCATCAAATCCGCAAAACTTCATTTATGAGAGTAAATTTGGCATAGTTACATGTACAAACCTATGTCATACAACTATAGTTTTTCTCGCAGAAAAAACTATATAGGCCAGGGTAAATCCCTATACGTACATGCCTAATGCTAAGTATAAACAGCACTCGTATACCCCGGTATCCAAAACTGGTGTTCTTAACGTGATTTTATCTAGGACACATACAATATGGACAAAATGGACAAACATCAGTTATTTTACTGTAGTAAATCGACAAGCTATATAAGACATAAATTATGCATCAAAAACAACTTCAGTTCACAGACAAATGCTAAAGTATACCTTGTTATCAATGAAAACATAAGAAACCATCATAATCCGTGTAAGACACCACTTGAAGATAAGAGAAAATAATCAGATTTCAAAAAGCAATTAGAAGTATTCCTGTTAAGAATCTATGTGTTGATAGCCAAGGATTATACATCTGGACATTATACAGAACACGAAATGGCTGTTCAATATCCGACACTCCGGCTGCTAACGGGACTGACATGATGGAGTAGCCCTGAGAGACCGTACAGTCCGACTTGATTTGATTGACACCTCTTCTTGCCGGCTATAACCCGGTGTTTTATATCGTTCATAACCTCTTAGTTTTCTCTAATTACTTATCTGATTTTTCCCCCTTTTTTACATCCGGTAATCCAAATTGATCAAGAAAAATATTTCTGATGATTCCGCTGCAATATTTCCTCGGACTCAATTAACCGATTACTCTCTGCGATCATTCTTCTTGGATTATTAACCACTTGTAGAGGAGGAAATTTTTTCATCACCAGGAGAAATTCAATAAAGCTCTCCATTATTTTTATGATTTGTCCACACTTGAACAAAATGTGTTCATTTGCAATTTGTTTTTATCATATTAGAAGATGGCCATACAAATAGCCAAGTATTCGACATCTCTCTCCCATGCCATATTTTCAAAATCAGGTTGTGTAGTACCGGGTAGTTAACTAAGGATAAATAATCCGCACCGGTATAATATATAGTATACAAGTAAATCTACTAGCTGTTGTATTCTTGGTTTTCTAGTTCCGTCTACATGTTGATCTACGCAGTGATAATGCCTTACCATGATGTGCTCCGTGTGACCTTGAGATAGAAGCTCATTGGATTCCGTGACGCCATTGCTCCTGAAAAGACAAGAACTCATTCTGTAAAAACAATCAAAAAGTAATATTTGATGCCATGTAACTGTAAATTCTCTTGGTTATTATTGTTTCTTCTTTGATGTTTAATAACGAAGCCGTTCCTATTTTATTAACAGAAAAATCGGGTTTCAACAAAAAAGCATATTAATGGAAGCCCAATAAGTTACTAAACATCGCGTTACTTAGCGAGGTCACTGGGTATATGATTGTCGACAAAATGAAAACGCGATACCTACTGCTTGTCCATAATAAATGGTAATAAAACAAATTGATCAATTTGTAAAGTATGTCCAATAATCTCGGCAGAAAATTACATTACTATAATAATATGCACATATTGACTAAAATGGTTCTTGAAAAGGAATTGGTGTAAAATCGAAAGATTTCGACCAAATTAAATGCTTCAACACTTTCAATTAGTAAAAATAGTCATGGAAATCCATACTTTAATTAAAACGTATGTTTATCGTGCAGTTCAATTTCAATAGAGTGAAATGAATTTGCTGTTGTGCGAGAGCTTCGTAATCACCAATTAATTACTGCATGCTTTCGCTGCCAAGAAGACAACTTTATTTCATTCCAACACGAGGCTTCAAGCTTCCGTCGGACCAAGATTCAAATTACCAATAGGGCATTAAGGATAACTGATTTGAATTTCTTCTTTAATAACGGTGTAATATTGGCATTCGTATTGAATTAAGAGGGGCCATCTGTGCGAAAGAAACAAAAATGTAGTAATCGAATATCTGTATTTCATTTATATGCTACATGATGAAAAGGGTACAAATATAACGAACAGTATACATGTATCTATAATAGAGGCAAAAGATACCAAAAATTTGACATAAATTCTTTTTTAATTGGATTTTCTTTTCCTTACTGAAGATTTAAATATACTCAGTAATAATATTAGTATATAGTTTACTTCAAGTAGAGACAGTTCGATTACTTTCGAATAATATCTCTATTTCTTCTTCAATCAAAAGACGCAAAATTCCAACAATTATACATTAGAAACGCGTTTTTCAAAGTAATTAATGTTTAATGATATCTGTCTATTTCCAAAACCAATAAACGCCAAAGGAATCGTCATTAAACCACGCAAAAATGATTATATTTTAAAACTATGAACATTATGACATGCTCATATTCGCCTCATAACCACAGAATCCGGTTTTTGCTCACGTCATCAATATTGCAAATGTCCTCTCTCTAAACATAAAATGATTTTTTAACTATCAATATCGTTTAACCAAAAACTCAATGAAATATCAATGTGAGAATTTTTCTTTATAATTTTTCTTCATCAACATATAATTTGGTCATAAAATATGCATTTATTAAATAAATATAAGAAAACAATATTGTTATGACATTACAAGATATAAAATGTCTAAAAGCTCACCATTGGAATAAAGTATAATATATATAAAAAAGGCATAGAAAATATGATTTTATCAACATAATGTCATTTAAAACTATTCATAACCTTGTTGAGATATATGTGCCTTCATTTACATGTATGTATATCTCAAAATCAAAATTTCCAGATCTCATCATTGATAAGTTAATCCTGTATATGAAGCAGAAAGGACAACCGTGGGATAATGAGGGATATTATCTTGGCTGTGAAATATCTTCATTTTCACTTCCAGCGAATGACATATTACCATGTCTGATAGCCTCTGCATTCTGGATCATTTATCAGATTTAGAGCATACACGCGGGCGTAGAAACCCGGTCTTTTAAAAACTAAAAAGACACTAGTTAGACTGTATACTGAAAAATGACTGATAGCAGATCTTGAGCTCTTCCATTCAGTGACCTTTCAATGTTCATTCAGTAAACGTTATGGTGTAAGTTAATGTTAACCAAAACGACATACCGTCATAAGACAGGGCCACCCTACAAGTGTACGATACCCCACTTATACCTGCCCTGGGTTTTAAACAAGAGTCACAAAATTTTTTTAAAGTAATTTACATACAAGTGTAAAAGGTATACAGATATCAAATAGACCATATATAAAATGTCCAAGAACCGTTTTATGTTTGTATTTCAAACAATCTGATTAAAATCACATCTTTGTCACGCTCTGAAATTCTTTGCACAACGACCATCAGATTTTCGGAGTGTAACAAAGATATGATTTTAATCAGATTGCATTTCAAATTACAAATTCATTATCGGTTTGAAGTAAACGATAAGACTTGTTGAAGGAATTTCTAATTTTTAAAAGAGAAATTTTCAGAAAAAAATTTTTGTTCTGTAGCTAAAAAAAACTGCCCTATTCGGGACTTGAAAGCTTCGTTTTTCGACTCCTATTTGGCCCCAAGGATAACAAATGAATATTAAACCTTATTGCACATGTGTCAAATTAAGCAATCACATTCAAGTATTGAAATACTGAGTATAAGTTAAAAACAGAATGAATAAAGTATAGAGAAAATCCTGATTAAAACTAAATGAAGTCGGATAAAGATGACATTTTTCTTGGGTTTATTACAAAAAATCTCAAAATAATATTTATGTAATGGTAATTTCTTCGGTTTTATTTACTGAAGTAAATAACAAGGACGCATCTTTTCACTGGACATCACCACAAATTCGTCTTACCGAATTCTGCTCGGTTCGATCTTATATTATTTTTGTCTGATTTCATCAATTTTCGTACTAGATCAATAAAAGAACTAATAAATAACCTGAACATGCAATCATAGCACGCAAATTGTCTATTTATTCCTCTGCATGGAGCTGTCTTACATATTAATGTATTATGCAACTGAAACGTATTCTGATCCTTTTAAAAGACAACAAGGAAAGAAGCCGGAATCCAACGACGTCCTCAGTAACATAATTAAGCCTGGACATCGCGTAATTAGGAAAAAAAAATATTTGTTAATTTTGTGTGTGTCTTATTAAAGTTGTATAATAATGAAATTAGAGCGGAAATATTTTCATTCGTTATATATGCGTCTGGTGTTCCTTTCTAGATACATGTATATTGTTTAAAAAAAATACTAGTATTCACTCATTAAAGGCAAGGGAAAAAGGACAAGTTTCTTGCGTCAAAAATGCCATTAAAGAACTCTTTTGCACTAATTACTATTTCCAGATTTAACACTGTTTTCATCAACCTCTGTCAGATCGGGGTCTGATGTATGTTTGAAGCTTCCAGCAGTATATGAATAACAGAACCACCAGGAGGAAACCAAATTGAGCTTTCCTAGCCTTCAGGTTTTTTTTTTCCTTCCACTAATTACAAGTCCCAGGGTGTCGAGACTGAAATTGATGGACGACATCGCTTCTTTCCTTTCCGATTGATTATTGTGTTAGTACACCGCCGTGTTACTTCCAGGTCCATCTTTACTGATTGAACATGGAGATCGAGTCCACTATCGTTCAACGATTCTTCCGCTCAATAAGATGTTTAGCGTTTTAACCAGTAAGCAATAAACATTTTTCTTTACTGTTTTATTAATCAATCGCAACATAGATACATGTAGTTGTTGCCTATAGTTTAGACACTCCATAAACAATTAAGCATATAGGATTTACTTCTCAATTTATTAAATTACAGCATCCAATAATTATAATTAGAATCTAACACTAAAAATTGTAGTTCAATATTTTAGATTATTTTTAATTAATAGTGAACGAGGATTTTTTGATTGCTTTGTACACTTATATTAATATTAACTCGAACTCGTTACTAGATTAACGATCGACGCTGTTTCGGAGCAATATTTTGATTGACTCAAATCTCCATTGAATAAAAAAAATCTTTCTCATCATCCAGCAACTGATTCATAATGTTTTTTCAATAATAAATGATTAAATCTACATTAGTCGTAAGTCGTCAGCTTGAAGCACTGGTTAGAGCGATTGGTCTAGTAGTTGATCTATGCGAAGTGGGGATTTAGAGCCTTATACGACGCAGGTTCGAATCCACTGCGGGGCACGCACAGGTACTTGTGGACAGGACCCCCCCCCCCCCATATATACACACCTGGTCAAAATATTTTTTTTCTTTTTTTGTCATGAATTATGTTTCTAGTACTTATTTACAACGTATTCCATATGAAAAATCCATAACATAGATTTAACGATTTATTAAAAAAGTCATACCCTGGTATTATGGTGAGTGTAGGGGAAAACATCATGAGAGAAAAATATCTAGCATGCACCAATATCCCATAGTGTTTTTCAAAATTTGTACATGCAAGTATGTAATTATACAATGAACATTATCTTGAGCGTTTGATGTCATGATGAAACTAAATAATAAATGAACCAATCAAACAATCTACAAAAAAAGAGCTGGAATAACAAATTAAACGAACAGGCGTGTGAAGTTTTTAAAAATTTGATGTATCCATCTATCTGCATATTACATAATGAAAGTTAAACAACCCAGGGGCCTATACGAGGAGTCTACACAACATTCATCATTCCATTCTGAGAAGTGGCCCGATAATCAGCCGCAAGAGACGAAATATGGTTCTCGTTACCGAATACAATAAAATATTTATCATTTTCCATACCTCCCCTGTGTATTTTCCCTCATTGATTTAAAAATATATTTTGCGAAGCGTTATATATCTTGGGAATTGAAGCAATTTTTACAGAATTACGCACGCTGCTTCGGCGTTGACATCTGTTTGTGCGGCAGTTCATAAATAAATAATCGACCGTGCTCCAATACACCACTGCCTGATTATGTAATTCAAGCATGGCGAGTCTTGATGGAATACCAATTAAATAACTCGTTAAACCTAAGTAATGAAAAACTGCACAGATTAAGAATAATTCAGAGAACACTTTAAAATACTGAATTTTATATTTACATTTGCAGTGTTGCCCTGTCGTAAATTTTGAATTTACAAGGTGTTTAATTAATCATGTAAATTTTGCATTTACCCCAAACTAGTAAATTCAAAAAAAAATTTACAACATGATTTTATGATATCATTTAGTCTAGAGGAGACTACGTTTGTAATAATACTTAAAATAATTCTACAATGTGACCATCGAAGTTTGTGATTAAAAGCTAAAGTAATCATAATTAGTTTTAACCATATTTTATTTGAAATTTACAAGCGTAAAGTGGCATGCTTTTAGATAATATAATATATTATCTCTTTGAAATATCTGTTAGATATAGTGAAGCGTTAAGACACAGAACTGTTGGTGCCCCCCAAAAATCAATTCCAATGTAAACTGCATAAGGTAATTGGGGCATGGGGGATTCTTTATATGCCAAAAATGAGATTCGTTCGGAGGCTGGAAAGAAGCAATGGATATTACTGACAGTCAATAGACTTGATATAATTATTAATCGACAACCCCTAAGCAAACCCCGAAGTGTCATTTAGACGTACATTTTTTTCAGCAGCAAATGAAATATCCGCTGTACAAATGCTTTATAGGTTTTTTCCCTCGGAGAGTAATTTTTGTGTATGCCAGGGAGACATAGAGTTCTACAATCCATGTGCTAGTCATAAAAGGAAGTTTTTTTTGTCTGAAAGGAGTATTTATTTTCTTGATCAATATTATCAGTAATTTAAAGGTAAAAAGAACTGCTCTTTTTTTCACCCTTGGTTAACGTGGAGAATAACAACTATCTTGTATCCCACAAAAAAAGTTTACACTCCTTATCTATGGAAATTTTGTCGTGATAAAGAAGAAAGGTTTATAGCAAGAGAAATCGATTTTGAGATAAAAACATTTACCTTCAAAGATGAAAACTTAATAACGCCCCCAACTTTGATCAAGTTTCGAGAATGAACATCGTGCGAAATATTTCCATTATTTCCTACCCGTCCGACCACACATAACTCGTTTTTCTTTTCAATGTTATCAGAATAAAAAATGTGTATTGAAACGTCTATAAGGAATCATGATAGCAACTTCGGTAATAAAAACTTTTTATATCTTGATTAATTGAAAATTACTGTAAAAATATTTAAATTAAAAAGGGTAAAGACAGAATCTGATATACATTTATTTATACATAAGATTTCTTGTGAAACAGTCATTAAATGTAACTCGACTGCATTGACACATTATATAGTCTAGTAGATATTTTAATGGAAAAAAGTTCGCTCTTTGGTAGAAACGTTTTATCAGTAAACAATAGCTCACAGAGCATACAGCTACGAATAAGGAAATTACTCCTAAGGGAGACTTGCAGTAAACTTTCATTTATCTGAAATATTTTGCCAGACTAAGAAACCGAGTAATTTAAGTCTGGAAATTCAATCTTAACCTTGAAAGGTGTATGTCTTTCAAGAATCTTTATTTGAATTTACAAAACTGTGTTCTTATACGACATACATAATTTATATAATCCGCGTTGCTCTTATTTGACTTTTTCAAAGCAAATACATTTTTAATTCACAGAGTGCAAATTGACTTAAATTAAAAAAAAAATACACAGTCAACAAAATTTGCAATTGTTTCACAGTTTGAATTTAAAATTAAATATTTATAAATGCAAATCAAGTTATCAAAGTCAATTTCAAAAGTAAACAATGTAGCGGACGTCCTAGACGAATGTTACCTATGCCAGGTAAACTGAAATGACCTCAGCTCCCCCCTTTTTACCTGTTTTTCCCTGGATTGACCACAATAACGGGGGGTACCTCCGCTAAACTGCATTCTGTCGTTCCGTACTGCGTACTCATTATCTTATATCCCCTCACAGGTTAAATTCCCCCATACTGCACAGACATACTCCTGTCGTATTTTTAAAAGGTCCCAGACATGTTTTAAATTTTAAGACAAGTTTGACTAAGCGTTCTCAACGACATTGTAAAGCCACTGACATATGCACTGGTTTACACGACAAAATATTCAACCACCAATCACATTGCAATTAATGAAATTGACAACGTTACTACCGACATTATGTACATATCCAACCATGCATTTGCATTTCATTTTTTTTAAAATCCTCTATTTGCTTTTTTTAAAAGCTCGTTATCACAGGCATTTGTGTAATTGATTTTCAAGCTTTCACTTTATACTTCCTATTTATATACCGAAGTACCATACTGATCGAACAAACATGTGCTTGCCTCGCTGTTTTATTTACATACAGAGTTTCTGCTGCGTATACTAAATATAAATATCCGAAAAAGTTAAATCGCCTACTCCTACTTATAGACTAAATAAAACATTGTTGTATGTATTATTATGTATCGAAATGTTTGTGTGTGTTTCTCACCTTTCGGAGGCCCTGGAATTCCTGCTCATCTTTTGCTGTTAATCCTCTATTATCCTAGACGTGAAGGAGATAATTTTTCTCAAAGGAAGGCAATACACAACAAAAGTCACCTGAAAACACCTGTATAATAATATCGTCACGACCACTGTGGACATCCGGGTCACTGGAGCGTGACGTAATCTCCCTGTACCCCTATGTTATCAGTCAATACACAACTCTGTCATTAGATCGGGTTATGGCCAGCTAATCTTTTTAAAATGCCATCTAAAGAGAGATTTCAACACAAATAAAAAAGATTTATAATCTACAAACATAAAGTGTTTACGATAAAATGCCGATTGTGAGCGGATTAATTTTAGTCGTTCCAAACTGTGCACGGAGAGCATTAAAAGGAATTTTCTGAATCAGACAGTAATGAAAATAAAATGCAAAGGAATTTTTTGCAGTTTTCATGACGACGCCTTGATATTATACACGTTTATTGATTCTTGATGCTGTCATAGTGACTTCCTGCTTAATGTCATGTCTTTCCATGTTTTATTGTTTCAGGCTAAATGATGCAGAAAGTCTTTATTAACACATATCTGCATATCTAATATTTTCTCTGTCTTTTCAAGGCGAGACCGAGTATTCATTATCGGATGGATGTACACATGTTATACCCGTGAAATGATTTACTATCAGACTCTATATTTCAAAAGTAAATACAGCAAATCACAAACACTGATAAAAATCAGTTACACTTACATCTATCTTAAATTTATTTACGATCAAGCAGAATGTATGATCATAGAATTGGTCTAAATGCATTCAGTAAGTAGTGTTTTTGATAAGGTTTAGGAATTTTTATTCTTTGACCAGTTGGGTGTTGCAAAAAGTTTTCTAACAAAAAGCTGGTCACCTGTGCTCTTCTCAGTGGTAAAGGAGAAATACATTGAAAAACAGTATTCAAGCTCAAAAGTCCTTTAAACAAGCAGAACAAACACAGACCTATGGTTCCATCCTCAGGTGGATCCTCCTTCAATGGTCGTTTCGGCGTTGTCCACTACAAGGTACAGAGGTACGCTGACTGGGGTGATCAAGTCCCAGCCTGGAACCACTCAGCTCTCTGCCTTCAATGCAACACATACAATGTCCATTTTCACGCCAACACACACAGTCTGATGCATTAGTCACATTTCCCGGCCGGTGGCCGTACACCGGTGGTAATCGGTGGTAAACCATGGTGTGAGCGATGCCCAAACATCGGTCCACATCGGCCTAGTAGTCCTAAAAGTGTCAGTCACATTATCCAGCGATGGGTTATACGATGGGCAATCAATGCGTTTTTGATAAAAATTGCATGATTGCCGGCCGGACTTACAAAGGACCAGCGATGCATTGCTAATCATAAAACGATGCTCCTGAGTAATCGGACGATGCATATTACATCGCTCCTACTTTGGTGAACATCGTTCGTACGTCGATGGGCTATGGGCCAATGGTTCGTCAAACATTGACCGATGATTGGCCAATGTCTGTTGTCCACCACTCAACCCACTGATGACCTTCAACGGACACTTGACGATGCTCGGCCATACATCGGCTAATCCTTGAAAAATGTGTTAATGATGAGTTGCCGATGAGGAGCGATGTGGGACATCGGTGGAGACATCGCTGATTTTTAACTACAAATTATTTTCTACTGATGACCCCCACCGATTCGCCAAATGGCCTCAGTCACCGTCCGACTACTAAAGTGTCCGGCCGGCAACCACACCATTTTTACAAAAAAACGCACCGGTTTCTCATCGTATACCTAATCGGTGAATACTGTGACTGATACTTTAGTGTTGCACTTTCCACTGTTCTTGTCATTTCTTCCACATCCACATGGATGCCACATATGCTTCTCTGCCCAGACGTTAAATGAGTCTCCGTCTCTCAATTCCTGTTACACCGACAATCCGCAAAGCCCTCCGGTTAGATTACCCTATAAAACCACGGCATCCAACTTCCTCTGGGAGACACCACAATCTCCAGCCCTATTGTTGACAATCTGCCACCAGATCCTGGTACTTATTCATTTCCCTTTCGTGGGCAATTCTGCCCTTCCACTGCACTGTAAGTTCCAGCATAATAACAAGCTGGGCTACGGTAGACCAAATAACATTATCTGGTACCTCATTGATAGATGATATTTCCGCGGAAACAGCATTCAGCTGTTGAGATCTGCTTGAATTTCCCAGTCACTGGCGGTCCTAGCTCAACAGTCCACATCCTTTCACTCCCCCAGCATGACTCTGTTCACCAGCCTTTACAAAGTTTACAAACTTCAAGCCCTCCTTGGTCTTCCGAAGATTTTTCCTTGCTTTCTCCAGCACGCCTGCAACAACAGATAGAACTTTGTCATGCCTCCATGTGTATCTTCTATCTGTTAATTAAAAGCTACTGAACACGAAGAAAGGATATGTTCAACGTTGGCTTGTCTACCACAAAGATCAGTTTGGATCGTCCCTCATGCCCCACATAGACAGATTGGTTTCGGTGGGCAACACACCATAAACTGACTTAAGCTGAAACTACAGTCTCTGGGGCTCTGTTATCCAGATCTCGTTCCAAGATAACTTCTTCTGTCGGGCACCCTGCCAGTTTAACCAGCTTCCCTGCTTCTTCATACCAAGTGCCTTCAGCATTCTTGTGTACTCTTCCATTTTTAGCACTTCTTTCTGCACCAGTTGCCTCTTCTCCGCTTCCGATGATGTACCGCATTCTGTCGATGGTATCATTCCTATTCCCTGCCTGCCTAGTGCCACACTTCACACAATGTCGGCTTTTCTCAGGCGTGACTCTGCCTCTTGTACTGTATTCTTTGCAGACCACTTTCTGTCTGTCTTGATGTTCACTCTTGCTTCCCTGACCTTGGAATCACTACTGTCGCGTAACATCAAATACTACCTGACTTGGTGACATTGAATTCCTCAACGATTGACGTCAATGGTAGTTGCAGCTTTGTTCCTGTGCTGTATAAATCAATCTAAAGCTTCTGGAAACCGCGAACCATCTTCTAAGGTATCCACTGATTTGTGGAAGTACGCCATGATGGTATATCCATGCCTTGTATTTTTCTGGTCAGGCCCTTTTATCTATGGTGTTCATCCACTTCTCAAGTTGATAACTGGTGTCGCAAACATTCTGTTTATCATTCAGTGAATAATCAAAATACTTTCCCAGGCACTTGACTGGTTTTTCTGAGACTGATGGGATAATCTCATCCCCATCCCTAAACTTCTTTCCTGTGAGTTTTCCCTTTTGTCAATAAGAGGCTCCTAGAGTTTTAAGGTCATATCCGAAAAACCCGTGACTTTCACTTCTAGTGCCGAACGCTTGGCGAAGGAACAGTCATCACCTTTGTTTACGTCTTAGGTATGACGCGGCGTCGCGAACGAGAATCGAACCCGGGCCTCCCGATCACGAAGCGAAGCAGAGATTAGAATTACTGATATTGTACTGTCTGTGGCAATTCCAACTTCTAGGCGCTGCCACAATGTTGTGAGGTCCTGAGGAGTGAATCGTAATTGAAGCATGTCAAAGTAACTCTTGAGTAGCGTCCTTATCCTGTCTGGTATATGGTAGCGCTGTGGGGTAAGGTGGACTAACTAATCTTTAGCTTTCCGTATTATCTCTGTTGGAACACTTGTATGCAAAACACACCACGAGGCCCCTGGCACTCCTCCTTTCTGCACAGTTATGTCTATGTACTTGTTGGACAGCATATATGTTGTCATCTTCTTGGCCAAAATGGCCAGGAAAACTTTCCCTTTGATGTTCAACAAGGAAATAATACGGAACTGCTTAAGTGACTTTGAGTTTTCCTCCTTGCAATGGGGCATCCCTCAGCTGCTTGGTGTCAGCTGTCAGCTAACTGCCCCCTCCTCCACATAACTTTCAGGTGTTTCCATTGAGTTAATCGCGGACAGTTCTTGTAGACTTTGTATTGGATTCCGTTTGGTCATGTTAATGAAGCTACTCTAGCTTTGCTGATGACATCTTTGACTTCTCGCAGTTTTGGTTCTGTTTTATCAAACAAATACTCTGGCTTGTCGGACTGCATCAGCTTCTCAAACTGTCTTAGATCTTCGTCTCTCTTTGAGTCACTGTACATATCCTTTTAATGTTGTTCGGCTTCCTCTCTTCCCGCTTTTAGCTTCCCTGATCCTTTGCTGCCTAAAAGTCTTGGTTTAAATTTGAATGGGTTGGCTGTAAATCGTGCTCTTGCTCTCTCCTACCTTCTCCTTCTGCTTCTTTCTGCCCTTCTCAAAATCTTTAACTTCTCTCTTATGTTAGTCCTTAATTCAGCCAAAGCAGGTCGTTCCCCTTCCTCTGATGTTCTCAATCGTCTTGCCAGTTGACGCAGTTCTCGCCTAAAATTGGTAATCTCTCTTTGTCTTCTGTTCTTATTCACTACTCCTCCTGATGCTGTAACGAGAGATAGATAAACACGTCTGTTCGGTACAAATACTCTATCTAAAATTAACTCAGTTATTTACATGGTAATGTCATCAGGTTTACACGTGCGTGAAAGTCAGTCAATAAATCGGGTCTCAATAGCTCAGTGGTTTGAGCGCTGGTACGCCAGAGGCCCTGGGTTCGAGTCCCGGTTGAGACTTGATTTCTCAGCACCTGAGACATTTGGCGCCCAACGAAAAAAAAACCCACTGTTCCCTTGGAATATGCTTCATGATTTCCTTAACTCATGGAATTCGAGGACGAATTTCTACAAAGAGAGGTAATATGTCACCGGGTTCACAGGTGCGTGAAAGTCAGTCAATATATCGGGTATCAATAGCTCAGTGGTTGGCACAGTACTTCAGAGGCCCTGGATTCGAGTCCCGGTTGAGACTTGACTTTTCACCACCTGTGACAATAACAATATACAGAATACAAAGTACCCAATGATGTTATCACTATTATGACATCACAATTGTGACGTCATTACCCAGGAATATACACTGCACATTTGATGACATAAGTTAGTTGTTATAGTATTTATAACAGATGCCTTTCCTCATTTCCAAATCTGTCCAACCCTACGTTGTACATTATCGTTGCCATGCCTTTGATTTTTATTGTCTGTTTCTTCTGCCAGTGATGCATTAAGGATTGTATCTACATCATCGTCAAACCTCTCCCATTCTTCCTTATTTCTGCTGGCTGGCCACTTGATCTTCGCTTTCCTCTCTGATTCAACCTGCTGCCCTCTTGGCTCACGTGTCTGCTCTTCTGGGTTACCCCTTTCTCCTTAGCTGCCCCCTCGTTGGCTGGTGCTTGGACGCTGTGGTCGTTGTTGTTAGATTCCTGGAACACCTTCTCCTCCGTCTAACCAGGTTGCCCTGTAGGTGCGTAGCGTCAGTCGCAAAATAGCAGCGCATTCCATCCTTCCTGCAGTAACTTTGCAACTGATATATTGGAACTGGTATGATTGCATTCAGTAAGTGTTTATAAGGTTTCGAAATTTTTATTCTTTGACCAGTTGGGGGTAACAAGTGTAAAAGAGT